AACTATAAATTAAAATTAATTATTTTAATTTAAAATGAACAAAATAGTACTCTACATTTATACATTATAGTATATTATCATATTTTATATATTTATACATTTATTGATTGTGTTTTCTATAATTTTGTTAAGTATGTTACGATGGTAATGTTAATTACGAATATTTAATATAAATTGAACTTATTAAAAAATAAAAAATAGAAAAAAGTAGATTGGTATAAATTTCAACTTTATACATATAGATAGATTTAAATATATATATATATACACTTAAACTTATAACTATAACAAATGAAGTAATACATTTACTTAAAAATGATAAGTTTGAGAAAATTTCTCTAAAAAAATAGGTTCAATGAGCTTAAATATTATATATATAGAATATAGATAATAATAATAAATTTTAAATTTTCATAAATATATTTAATAGTTATAATTTATTAATTATATTAATAATAACTTTATAATATTGATAGTAACATATTAACTATATTAATTAATATAATTATTTTTATTAAAAAAAATTGATCACATAGGATCCACCGAGCTCAAATCAAATATATAATGTATTGATATAGATATTTAACAAGTTCTAATCTTATTCAGCCTGGCTGAACTTGTTAGTGGTCATACTCTTTTAATACTTTGCTTCCTTTTAGGGTGTGTTTGTTTGGGGGTTTGGATTTTGAGTTATGATTTGAATACTAAAAATTTTGAATTTGAATAATTGTATGATGTGATATAAATAGGTGTTGAAGTGATGTTTTGAATGTAAAATTGATTTTTAGTTTATACCTGGTTGGATCCAGATTAACCAAGGAACGTGCATATATACTTGGTTGGATTTGAGTTCCATGAACATTACGGGGGTGTTAGTTTATGGTTTGGGATTATAGTGTGTTTGTTCAAAAAATTCATTATTCGTTCAAAAAAAATTTCCACCAAAACATCAAATCAGACACCTATTTTTTATTTTCTATATTATTATAAAAATCAATTTTACATTTAAAACACATAACAATGTACCCAACCATTTATATCAACATTTATTTATATTAAATCATACAACTATTTTAATTCAAAATTTTTACCATTCAAATCTCAACTTAAAATCTAAATCTCGAAACAAACACACAAGTGTAGCCAACCACCGCCCATGTTGCTCATGGCATGGGATTTCTTGTCTTTTTTTTCACCCTGCTTTCCCTACAACATCACACACTATGTATAGATAGGATTGTCAATTGGATCCGAATCAGACCGGATTTGATCCGGATCCGGTATATTTTTTTTGGATTTGGAACCTCATATGAATACCGTGTCCGGAATCGGACCCGGATTCATTTTATATGGTTTCAAATATGATATTTTTAGTTGCGATCCGGAATCCATCCAGATCCGAATGTCTATATATATTCTATTATTTATTGATACATTTATATAACTGTATATAATGTTAGATAATTTAAATTCTTTTTGGCATTAGGGCGTTATTGTTAATTACATATTTTTTTATATTTAAATTTAAAAATATGTTATTTAAATTTAATTGTTGAATTTCTACAAATATCGATAAATTTTGTGCATTGATCCGAACCAATATTCAAACATAATGTTTTGAATATTAGACCCTGTCGGATCTGACGGGACTAGATTCGGTCAACATTTTTTTTGTTCTGACAGATCTGATTCCGGATTCGAAAACTGTAACGGGAGGTCGGACCGGATCCGACCAGCTGATGGGCCTATATATAGATACATGTGTGTATCTACAAAGACTATATGTATCTATACACACGTGTGATGCCAGTGATGATGTAGGGAAGGCAGAGTGAATGTTGATGCATGAGATCTCATCCCGTTGCCAATGCATGGTGAAAACAAGCCTTATCTTATTTTTCTCTTTGTATCCTCAACGACTACAAAATTGAATAATTGAGACGGTTGGACACCCCTTCACCCACCTCTATCTATTACAATCTTCCTCTAATTTAAGGGTAGCAAACATTTGGTGTCGAACATGGCATTAGAGTTCAACCTTTCATAATGCAATGCCATAATCAGTTGTCACCCATCTTGTCTTTCCGGTCATCCTTTCTCTTCCTTGCTCTCCATGTAGATGTTGCCGCCACATTGTTTCGTTTTTTTTTTTTTTTTTTTTTTTCTTTTTGTCAAGAAATCACTTTTGAATTTGGAAATTTTGTTCAGGAGATTCAAAGGTGGTTTTCGGACAATTTGACATAAAATTTGTTGGATAATCGTTTATTTTTTAATCTATGGAATTTAATTTATAAATTAAATTTATTAAATTTTGAAATTTATTATTCGATGAGTTGAAATGCATGTGAGTTATATGATGGTTGTCAATAATGTGATTTAGGCATATGAACGCGGGAAATATTTGGAAAATAAATTTGAAATGCATTATGAATATATGCATTAACATGCACGTATGCATGATTGATTATATTGTATACATGATAGCATGTATTACAATAAATGCATGAAATGCATATTTGAGTGCATGCATACATTTACAAATATAGAGTGAATGCACTTAATGTGCATATCGTGCAAATTCATTACATGCCATTTAAGTTCATTTGAAATTCAAACATGGATTTTGATGATATGGCCGATTACATTCGGTTTTAAGAAATGTAATTGTCATATTAAATTATCCGTTTTGGATGAGATTGATAAACCCCTCATGAGCATGCTTATAAGAAGGCTTTTGATTCATTTTTTTTTAACACATCACAACAAAGATATTATTTAAGTACAAATATTATATAAATTTTAAATATTCTTATGAAAAATTTTACATAATAAAAAGTATATGTATTAACTATAAAAGAGCTCAATGTGGACTCCACTTTTCTTTAAAATTTTGCAATCATGCAATTTCAAATTTTGAGATTTTTTTTTTTATTTATTTTTCTTTTTTTACAGTTTTTTATATAACAGTGAAGATACAATTTATTTTATATAATAGTGGAGATATAATTTTTTACGGAGTAGTTTTTATGGAGAAGCACGATATGAAACTCTATGATAGAAGCAAATCTTTCTATTAGAGAAGATTGCCACCGGAAGAAGAAGATTTCTTCGAGTAAGTTTTTGAACAAAGTTTTTTTCAATTTTTGTATAGTTTTTGTTACGCAGTTTTCTTTCTTTTTTTTTTTTTTTATGAAAGAAGCAACCGAAAGTTTTCGAGCCCTTTTTTTTTTTTTGTGAAAGAAAAATATTTTTACTGGAAAAGATTGCCACCGGAGCAGAAGTCCGTCTTCTTGAAGTAAGTTTTTTAATGAATTTAAGTTTTTGAATAAATTTTCATTGATGAATTATCCAATTTGTTAGCAAAAATTTAACTAATTATTATAGGTTATGTGTATTATATTAATTTAACTAATTACTAAAATTCTGTAGGACATATGCATAATGCTGCATAAAAAATAAAAAAAAATAAAAAAATAAAAAAAGAGTAAAAAATAAGAAATAAAAAATCCTGCAACATTTGTTATTAAATTATATAGTCATCAATCTCTATCCCCCGAATCCACATTCGTTGCCTATTTCAATATATCACTGTGATAAAATCCGTTTCGTATTCCAACATATCACAACATCATAATAATACAACAAAAAAAATGCATATTAAAAACTAAAATAAAATAAAATTGAAAACATGTAGGGTAAACCGTCGTCATCGTGCAGTAAAAAATATGGCATAATCAGTGCAGAAAAATCGTCTATAAAGTTTAGTGTGATTACCTGTGAAGCAAATAAAAAGGATATCATTTGTCTCTAATCAATTTCGCAAGAGAAAATTGACCAAATTAGGGATATAAAGCACGGCTAAGGCCGAGTAAATAATTTCTGCCATTTTATGAAATTGGATTAAATAATAATAAAAAAAAGTTATTTTTAATATCTGATATTACGATTGCAGCGGTGGTCGTTCCAGCGGTGTCAACGGTGGATCTGACTGTGCACTACAAGAAAAAATTATTTTTGTAACAAAACTTTTTTGTCTCTAAATCTATTTTTTCCGTTACTAATGACATTAGAGACGGAATTAGGAACGGAATTACGTTAGCCACGTGAACTTTAGGGACGGAATTCCGTTACAAATATATTATTTTTTTTTGTAGTGGTGGTAGGAAGTTTCTCCGGCGGAGCAGGGTTGTTTGACAATGGAAGTAATTTGCAGAAGCACAACGACTGTTTAATCAGTGATGGTGTAATGTGATTGTGGATAAAAGTAGATGGGAGAGTGGAGTGAAAGTATAAATAAATGTGTGGGAAAAATCCCACTATATTTTTTATTAAGGTTTTCCTGTGCACTTTAATTATATTTGAATTTTTACTTTACTTATGAATAAATATAATTTAAATGTTATACACAATATTTATTGTTCCTAAAATGATGCTATTCAAAATAAATATATTTTTATTTGACTTTATCTGAAATTTAAATTATATATTCAAATTCTATCAATTATATTTGACTTTATCTGAAATTTAAATTATAGATGTTAATCTTTCTAATTTCATTCCGCTACCCAAAAAAACCATTTGGTGCGGAGAAAACTGTGGCAAGTCGGTGCCACCATAAATAACACTATAGGCGCCGAAAGTGGCGTCAATCATAATTAATTTTTTTAAAAAAAATAAAAATAAATGATAGACGCCGAAAGTGGCGCCAATCGTAATTAATTTTCTAAAAAAATAAATGAAAGGCGGCCCAAAGTAGCGCCAATCTTAATTAATTTTTTTTAAAAAATAAATGAAAGACTTTGAAAGTGGCGCCAATAATAAATAAATTATATTTTTAATTTGGTGCCGATAGTCGCACCACACAATAAAACAAAAAATAATTGGCGCCGAATTCGGCGCTCTAAATAAATTAAAAAATAAATAATTTACATATTGGCGCCGAATGAATAATATATCTATAAAAAAATTTAAAATTTGTAGCCAATTAAATTATATTTGTGCAAAAATATTGAAAAGCTTGTTGCAAGAGTTAAAAGCCCATAATCATCTGGTCGAAGCTCTGCATAAAACGAGCTTCCATTATCCATTACCCCAACAGAGAATATCCGTAAAACCTGGCCTCCAAATTGTTGTCCATTTTTGACACTTTGTCTTCTAAGAGTAGCTTTAGGAGCTTCGCTCTCCCTTGATGAAGATTTTGAGTTTTTTAACTGAAACCAACATACAAAAGAATAACCAGCAGCAGGGGGCCAAGATCATTCCCCTAGTGGCACTTGAATGCAAGCAAGGCATATCCTGCTCATGTCCAACTCCAAAAATGGGGCAAGAGATACATCTTCGGATCCCATATCCTCTGAAAGAATCAATCTTTCAATCATCTGGATAAGGTACCGACCAGAACTAAAATGCCTCATTTGGAATATGTATCGAACAAGAATTCTAAGCTATGATACTGATAACCTGTCAATCAATAAGTGAATTGTCCATATTAATACAATTTTTGTGCAGCCAAAATTCATCTTGGCAGGCAATATATTTCCACATTATTAACAACATTACCTGTAGGCACCAAGAACTTCTACAACCTTCAAAGCATGAGAAACCAAAGGAGAAAAACTTGACAGCATGGGCTATACAATCTCCAAATGAATTTGTACACAACCTAACAGCATTGGAACAAAACTTTAATAAAAGCATCACATAATCGAAAAATAATTAGTAACTTGAATTAGCAAATTCGAACCTATTGATGTTAGATTTTCCTGATTGAAGCAATTGGAATAAGCAAGCTTTTCAATAAGGTACACCATTTTAGCTGAACCTTTGGAGTGAATAGCAGCAAAGCACGTATGAGCACCCTGACAGCAGCAACATTGAACACCCGTGCTTTCTCAGGAGCAAAAGAGCCTGATTGTGTTGTCAAAACAAAATAGGTTGATTCATTTCCAGTATTATGAGATACCATCATAGATTCCAGCATTAGAGATGGCGGAGGAACCAACTCAAGTGAAAGTTCCAGAAACAACTGTATAATTAGGCATTCACTTTCAACGCAAATTAACCAGGTAGCATTGTCCTATTGACAGCATTAGCAGAAACTGCAACTGTCATTACGCGCATGATATATGTAAAGATTTTAATTCCAACAGAATTTGTCAGCTATTTTTTCTATTCTTTATCAATTTGAAAAGAACGAAGGGTAGTTAATAAAATAGAAAAAACACTCACTTAGCCATAACCCCTCTGTGCTGAGCCATTAACTCCTAATATCCTCCATAGGGCTCCAAAAGCATCACATTTTGCATCATATTGAAGAGTATATTGAGATCCCAAAGCAGTTGTAACCATCCCATTTTTTAAAATCTCAACCAAGGAACCTAATTCATCTTAATGGACCTGAAGATAATTGAACAAATAACATTATAAAACAGCAACTTCGACTAATGCAAGAAACAGTGCATGACGTTCAGCAAAAAGCATACTCGGAGAGTGATTTTACACACATTGGGTGACAACAAGCATGAATAATAAGTGAAAGTATCTACAACAGAACATTTGTAACAAACAGAAACCTCCACAAGAATAAACTGTTACATGCAAAACAGAGAATATTACATCCAACAACTCTTCAATTTGAAAAATATAAACAAAAAAACAAAACAACTACAAAGTAATACACCTTCATACTAGATACAGAACTTATAACAATCTTTACACATGAATAACATTTAACATCAACGATTAAGGAGAAACATATCAGCTTCAAATAAATTAACGATCAAACACCAAGATACCAACAGAACCATTGTCTAAATTCAATAGCCTCAGCAGAGTCAACATCACAACACCATATACAATCTTGATTATTAACATACGTGAAATTTATATTGAATGCACGACAAGGTACAGACAGGACAAAACATAAAATCATAATTGAGAAGAATGCACAAACAGTTACGACAATGAAACTACATTTGAAGCATAAAAGTAATCCGATGAGTAATGAGCTGGTAAAGCCAAACATCACCCTAAGCCAAGCTTTCACCTTATATGTTATAGAAAAATCAGCAAAAAACAAGTAGAGACGTATCTATTGCATCTGATTTGCAGAGATGAAAATAAATGATTCCAGCAGCATATATGAAAATTCACAAATCAAGAGAACTTACTTATTTAAAAAAAAAATCAGGAAATCAATCACTATCTTGTTCATGTACATCAACCTCCTCCCAGTCAAGAATATGACGGTCATTAGTTTCACCTTCAAAAGATTCCAATTGACTTGCATGTAAATCTACATTTACATTAGATTGAACACTATCAGATAAATTGTGAGATGCATTAGAGTCTATCCATGCCGTGGATCTTTGCACTCGATCAGACTGATGCGTCAAATCATCCCATGTCACCTCTACCACATTACGTGGTCTGGTTTTCATAACAGTTATCCATCTGGAGTTGGATCTAGTTTTTTTAGCATACTCAACATAAAAAACTTGTTTTGCTTGTTGTGCCAATATGTAGGGCTCTTTTGTCCTAAGAAGATATCGAAAGTTCACATCGACCAAATTATATGTATGATGGCGTCACATGCCTCAGTTAGGGTCAGCCTATCGACAGCGGAACAAAACCACCTTCATGTGATAATGTAGATCATACGAAACTTGCAAAATCTCTTCAATTACTCCAAAGTATTCTATTGAAGTACCATAATTGCTATTAGATTGCACTGCAACTCCATATCTCTGACTCGCCCGCCCATCACTTCGATCAAAGGTACTAAATTTCCATCCATTGATCACATATTCTTTAAATGTTCTCACTTTGTAACTCATGCCTGATGCTATAGCACGCAAGAGTGGAAGCACACCATCTAAGTTCATATTCATTGTTGAGTCTCGAAACCAATCCACATAACCTTCGAAAATAATATGATCAATAGAAGTAGATGATGTCCCTATGTGCTCCTTAGCCCAATCACAATAGAACCTGTTAGTTTATTCATGTTTTAAACTAATCATTCATCCCCTTAGATAAATTAAAGATACATTCATTATTATAAAAACTTATCATATAATCCAAAAAGGAAATATTATATTAATTACCGAAAATAAGGCTCTGCCTCTGGAGTTTTGGTCAAGATATATAAGGAAGTAGATCGATATTCTGAATCCGATAAATACCGTGTCGCTTCACGTCCACCTGCTTGTCCCGGAAAGTCAAGATTGTGCTGCAACAACAAATCTTTCCAATAAGATAGATCCCAAAGTATACTCTTTTTCGTCCATTTATGTGATTCTCCGTACCCATTATGTGAATTTGATAATGGGTTATCAATTACCTTTGGTATCCTTGAAACCCATTGCAATATCAAATCCCCACTTAAACGCCCCCGTGCAGTACCCTTCTCGACTTTTCCCTTAATAAAACTCCAAACATCTCGACGAAAGGCATGACATCGTGGTAAAAATTGTCGATGACAGCCCAAGTAGCCCACTTTTTTCCCATATTGTAGTCTAAACACCGGATTATCATCCATACAAATTGGGCATCCTAGGATGCCTGCAGTACTCCATCCCGATACCATCACATATGATGGAAGATCTCCTATGGTCCATATTAAAGCCGCATGCATATGAAATTGATGACTTGTATGTGCATCATATATCACATATCCATTGTGCCACAGATCTAATAATTCGTCTACCAAAGGTTGCAAGTACACATCTAACTTTCTTTTTGAATTATTTGGACCAGAGATTACAATTGTCAAAAACATATACTGCTTCTGCATACACATTCCTGGAGGGAGATTGTAGGGTGTCAAAATTATTGGCCAGGATGAGTAATTACGACCATATGTTCCAAATGGGGCAAATCCATCGGTGCATAGACCAAGCCTCACATTGTGTGGATCTTGCGCAAAGTTTCGGTGACATGTGTTGAAATGTTTCCAGGCAGCTGAATCTGATGGGTGGCTCATCCTTCCATCCTCAATGTGATGCGTAGCATGTCATATCATTGCTTGAGCAGTATGTTTGAACTCAAACAAATTTTTCAATCTATCTTTCAATGGAAGGTACACCATTTGAGCTGATGCAACCTTGCTATACCAACTACCTTCTTTCCATCTCGACAATCCGCAAAACTTGCATATTTGGGTCGCCTCATCTGACTTCCAATATAGCATACATCCTGCTGGACAACAATCTATTTTTTGAGATGGCATTCTCATATTAGATAGCAATTTTTTTTAAGCATAAAAACCAGATGGCACTTGGTTGCCTTCTGGCAAGGCACGCCTCATCAGACTACACGTATCATCAAATGCCGCCTTAGACATATTATTTTTGGATTTTATACGAATAAGCTCGGTCACCACAGATAGTTGTGTTTCTTCATTAGAACCATCATAAAGGGGTTGATCTACCAAGCGCATTGCATCACTAGATCTACTTGCCATTTCTTCTTCATTGATAGGGTCTGCTGCGTACAATCTTTTGGTTGTGAGCAATCCATCATCTATAGCATTATTTATCTCTTCTTCATTTGAATACATCGGCAGAGTACTATCCAATCCCCCAGCTGCATGCACCTGATTTGGTGTACCAATGTTGATTGAGGGATCAAGTAGCTTTCCATGGAACACCCAAGTTTGGTAATCCTGCACAAATCCCTTCCTTAATAGATGCACGATAACCTCATTTAGATTTTTATTTTGTTTATTATTGCATTTTAAGCATAGACATAATATTTGACCTTGATTCATGAATTGTATTTGTAGAGATGCCCATTCAACAATTTTGTGCATGCCATCCTCAAAAGCTTCTCTAATCGATTCACCCCCTGGCAATACCCTTTGATACATCCATGATCTTTTCCTTCTTGCATACATAATCTTTTAAAGCCGGTCGAAGACAAATCAAAGAATTCCTTGAATATGAAATAACAAAATAAAGTAATTAAAATAAATAAATGTGACTCATTTTCAATTGAACTAACTAATAATCTTGAAATTAACTAAATACCAGATAATTTTGAATAATCGTAATGATTAACTGATACTAATACAAAAATTTTTTATTAAAAAGTAACTCAACATATAAAAAATAAGCAACAAATTTATATGATTCCAAATAAATTTCTAGACAAATATTACAATAATTCTATTGCAATTTTTCAAGCCTGCAGATCGGGGTCAAACCAAACCATCATCGAACCGAAATCGAAACTGGTTTTACCATGGTTCGTTTTCAGTTTCTCTTTTTTCAACCGGAAAATTCAAACCGGCTGTTTTGTGTTTTTTATTTTTTTGAAAAAAAAAATATTTATACTAACCTGAAGAGGAGTGGAGACGGCGATGGAGCAGCAGGATGGGTGGGAATGGGGACGGTGCAGGAAGAAGCAATGAAGAAGAAGAAGAAGAAAGGGTGAGTGAAAATGAAGAAAGAAAATGAAGAAAGTAGAGATTTGGAGAAGGAGGAGACCAAGGAAGATCCGGTGGTCGGTGCGGACGGCAGCGGCTGTTGATGTAATTGCATTAGAGCAAAAAACACATAATATTACGTATAATTAATTTTATAAAAAATAAAATGATATTAATAAAAACCATAATTTATTAATAATTAAAATTTAGAATTTTATAAATTTTTATTATATAATTATATTTCATCTAAATTATATTAATATTATTTAATTAATTATTATTATTTATATAATTTTAACATAATAAATAAAATATATATATCTAGTTACAATTAAAAATAACTGTTTTTAATAGGAAAAAAATATAAAAATATAAAAAGATATTTATTAAAAATAAATAAATAAAATTTTACTGTTCAAACTTAACCGGCAATGTTTAAACCGAAGTCGTTGATTTCAAAACCGTCAAATCGGATATGAGTCGATTTCGATTTGACCTTTTGATAAACCAAAATTGACTGTTTCAAATCATAATCGTAGTTCAAATCATTTAGACAAATCTATCACCAAACAATCATGGATTCGATTTCGACCGAAATTGCAATCAAACAATATTTTTTGAACTTAGAAGCGGTAAAAGAAAAAATTACGTGAGAAAGATACGAGAAGCAAAGAATAGATAAGAAGAAAGAGGAAAAATATAGACAAGAAAAAAAACCAATGGAAGAAACCGGTTGTGGATTATATCAAATATCAATTACATTGTGAAGCATGCTAGGAATGAGGTAAGGACCTCTTCTCTCTGACGTAGCCAAACAAAGTGAAAACCATTCGACCGAGGTCGAGATCGTCGCCGGTTTATAGCATAGGTGCTGCAGTGAAAGATTCCGACGTAGCATCATACCTTGAAGAAAGAGCAAAAAGACTCACTTTGGGTCCATGGCTCCCGTCAAAATGGCCCTTCCCTCCCTTTGAAGAAAGCCTCGTGTCCTGCCTTGATAAACCTATATTTGTTTATTTATTTATTATTATTGTTTGCAACAGAAATATTAATATATAATAATAAAATAAGTAGTTATTATAATGATATAAGTGGAATATAATAATATCACATTCTTTTTCTATTTTTAACTTTTTAAATTATATAAAATATATTTTTTATTTTGTAATAGTACGTATTTTAATTTTAATTATATAATTATATAATATATTAATAATTTTTTAATTATTTATTTTTAACTTAGGTTGTGATTTCTGCTATTTTTATAATAATTTTTGCTATTTTTTTTCGAGACAATTCAAAATATCGAAATATTTTTTGTGACTTAATTCGACACAATTTATGCTCTCGAAGCTTTTTCATGATGAATGTCAAGACATCATATATTCAAAAAATTTCTTCGTGATTCGTTTTGAGACATGCATACTCTCAAAATATTTTCGCAACTTAATTCAAAATAATTAAAAGTCTCAAATTATTTTTTGGGATTTATCTCCAAATCATTCAAACTCTCGGAGTTATTCTCGTTACTTATTTCGAGATAATTCATAATCTCATAATATTTTTGGCGACTTATTAGGAGACAATTAAACCCTCAGAATGTTTTCTGCAACTTGTTTGAAAACAATTCAAACTCTCGGAGTACTTTTGTAACTTATTTCGACACAAAACATGCTCCAAAAATTTTTTTCTTGTTGAATTTCATGACAACATATATTCACAGAGTATTTCCGTTAATTGTATTGAGACAATGCATACTCTCGAAATATTTTTTCTCGACGTATTTGAGACAATTCAAAATCTCGGGGGTATTATTCGTGTCTTATTTCAAGATAATAGTTACTCTCAGTGGCGTTTCGAGAGAAATATGTGGCAATGCATTGTTATGAAATAGTCTTCGAGACCATGGTGGAGACAAAGTGTCGCGGTGATGTCTCAAACCATAGTTGAGACATTAATTTGTCTCGAAGAAAGATTTTGTGACACAATATTGTCTCGGAGGTTTTTTCCGAGACAATTTTCCGAGATTATTTAGCATTTTTGTGGTAGTGATACTTTAAAAATTGCATGGTACTCCCTTATGTGATGAGAAGATGATTTAATATATATATATATATGTTTTGCATGACGAGAAATTTCATGTAATATTTTTAAAAATATAAGGGGTGTCATGCATACGGCGATGATGATGATGAAACCATTCCACCTACTCAGTATTATTAAAATTTCTGTGTAATATTTTTTTCTTTGTAATGTATTTACTTTGACATTAAAATTAATTTGAATAAATATTTTTTATTTTACTATTTAAAAAATATTTATACGAATATTTTATTTTATTATAGAAAATTTAAACTAAATAAAAAATTAAATAAAAATTATGGTTTAATATTTTATCGACAATTTTGATAATTTGGTTTGATGTTTTGCCCCAGAAAGTTGTAACAATTTGTTACAGTTTTCTGCAACAAAATATCATTAATGCTCTTCAATATTTTCACGGAAAATGTTGCAACAAATTGTTGAGAGTCTAGCGCGAAATTAATTCTACAATATTTCTACCACAGTTTATTAAATTTGCCTTGGAATCATATATTTTTTAGATAACTGATAGCAGTTAGGCGGGAATATATGAATATTAAATTAAACAATAAACCCACGTGGTCACATCCCTCCTCTATATATATATATATATATAGGAGATACAAATTGTGCTACTTCATACATAGTTAACTTTTCTACACATAAAGATAGTATGTGTATGGGTTTAGGTATCTTTTTAAAAGTTAGTTATTACATCACTTTATTTATATACTATTTTTATTTTGAACCGTTCTATTTTATTTATCTTTTTGTTTTCTATAAAAAATATTATACATTTTAATAATATTAGAATTTTATAAGATATATTTTTTTTTTTTAATTTTCATTAAATTAGTTAATAAATTTAATATTAATTTATAATTATTTATGTTATATACTCTCTCCGTTAGGTAAAATTTGTCCATTTTGGCTCGGCATGCAGATTAAAAAAAATATTTTATCGAAAAAGTAAAAAGGTAATTGGGGTATTTTTGAAAATTTAGTTAGTAATTAAAAAGAATTAAGAGAGAATGTAATAAAATTAGTGATATTTATTGTAAATAAGAATGAAGTGTAATAATTAAATAGTGACTTTTTTACTTTTCCAAATATAGTAACGAGATAAATTTAACGGCCGGACAAAAAAAAAAGTGAGAATAAATTTGGCGGAACCGAGTAATAATTATTTAAACTAATATATCATTTAAATTATTTATTAATATATTTTACATAATTTTTATATATACACTAAATCAATCATAGGTGGGACCGTGAAAATAAATAATACTTTTTTTTTTCCTAATTAATAATATCATTTCTATTTTAGTCTGTTCCATAACATTTTATATTTATATTAATTTTTATTAAATATATAACATCGTACATCATGTACCACTTAAAATTCTTTTATTTCTATATCTCTTTAATAAATAAATAAATATTTTTATCTATAATTAAAATTTCTTCTTTTTTATAAAATTAATTTATGTTAATTATAAATAAATAATAAATATTTTTTATTTATTCGTATTATATAAAATTTTATTCTCAATAAAATCATATTTATATTATATATATTTTATTAAAATATAATTTTTAAATATTTAAATACATATTTTAAATTTACTTTCATGATATATATATATTATTCATATTTTAAAATTACTAATAATATTTTTTAAAAGAAATAATATCATAACATATTATTTTTAATTAATTAAATATATCTCCTAAAAAAACCGTATCGGTAATCAAAAGCATCATTTGCAATTGGATGTAAGGAGTATTAAAAATTTTAATATCATTGTGCAAACAAAATTCAAAAAGACACGACAAGATGGATCAGCATATATAGCGCATCGTGAATAGTGCCAATCCATCTGGCGTTGAGATCCTGTGACCTCCTACGAAACGAAACTCCAACCCAAGTCAAACTAATCATTCGGCAAACCAAAATACTATTCATCAACAAATATACTAACTAATAAATAATTAAAAATATATTAATAAAATAATTAATCCATATTTTAATGAAAGATTATAAATTAAAATAAAATATAAAAATATAAATTAAATTTTCGAAAAATAAAATTAAAATGAAGTAAGTAACGAATGCATGTGATTTTCCAGCACCAGCTTCTACTAGGGCAGCGGAAAAGGAGCATTTAAAAGAAAGCAGTAATCAGCTTGAACAGGGAAGGGAAATTCATTCTTTTCTGTACACACACGAAACAAAATTCACAATTGAAGAAAGCAAAAGAAAACGGAAAACAGTTTTGATTTCCGCTCTTCCTCCTCGGACGCTGTAAAATCTTCACAACTAACCGTCTCTCAGAAAGGAAGAGGACGAGGACGAGGACCAGATCGAAAGGCGCTTTTTCTCGAAGAATTTCCGATTTTACCCCCGCGAACGCCTCAGTCAGGAATCGCTGTAATCTCTCCAGCAAATAAGCATGGTCACGCATCTACGAACGATGTAGAATCTCGCGCGCTGTTCTTTGACGAGAGCAGAGCATTTCCTGGAGAAGGAACACTTGCCGTGGGTAGATTTTTTTATGAAAGACGATGAGGATCTACTCCACGATAGCTTCCACTCTGGTGACGTCGTCGCCATAGCCTTCTTCACTTGAACGACCTGAGCTGCTGCTTAGTTTAGTTTAGTTTGGGGAGAAATTTCTAGGGATTTGGGAATGCAATTGGTTTTTGTTTTGGTGTAAAATAATGTGATTAGAGAAGGGGCTCTACGGATAAGTGTGATGATATTTATAGGGACAAAATTTAGGGCTCGAGATGACGTGGCGAGTCGCCATCGCCTTTTCTTGGAAGACCCGCCATTTGGAATTTCATTTTAATTTAATTTTTTTTTAATTTTTTACCCAAAATCTTCGGAATTGTGTATTTGTTTTGTAAGTTAATTTAAATAAATAT